CGAAGTTTAATCATCTCTAACTTGGCATTTAAAGTAAGAGGCTTACGACTCCTCTTTTTATCGCTACTACCCTTAGACGCCATTGTAATTACACTGTAGTAACACAAAAATATTATATAAATATACAGTTTGTAATAACGGAAAAACTGCCAGAAATACAGAGACACACGGAGCACACAAAAGCTGTAAACAGACTGAATCAGCAACGAGAAAATGGCGCCGGACGCACTTCTCTGACTCAGCTGTTGAGCGCCGTATTAGCGGATCGCCGAAAAGCGGGGCCCTACTGTATACAAGCCAGAAAAGTGAATAGCTGTATGACCAGAGTTATTTTCTCCTTGTAGGGGCAAGATCTCTCTCTCTACCACCATGTCCAGACCAGCTCTAGACTGACATATTTGGGATAGAAGAGCAAACCCTTAGCCCATCTAAATGACATTTTTCATATTTCCTTTGTCTGAAATATGAAACAAAACCTCTCTCTACTAACAGACCTTCCAACTATTTAAAATAGCAGCAAATGTTTTACTGCACAGTCATTACCTCCATGGTCTTCATGTCGATGAGTGAATTCCCTCGTACATATGGGTGCTGCACTTTCACTGCTACTACTGTTCCATCTTTAAGTGTTGCCTTATGAACTTGAGCTAATGATGCTGCTCCAAGCGGTTCCTCATCTATATCTGAAAATATTTCAAAGGGCTGCAACACATAAAATACAAATTATTAATACCGAGTTGGGGGAAGATTTAATGCCATATACTTTCCTTCAAGCACAATGTAAATCCTCTTGTGTGGTTGATAAAATGGATGACCTTTGTGAAGATTTAATAATGAAATATGGATTAAAGCTGTATCATCCAATTAAGAATTCCATTTAGCCACAAGGTTTACTTGAACCCTCTTAACACAACACACAACGATGAAAAAATGTTTACAAAATAAATGGTATAATTATACATTTATGTAAGTCAAATATTTTGTTGGATACATTTTCTTGATACAATGACTGACTGAAGAAATCCATACATGCATGGTGTCTAGCAAGTAAGTGCTGGTTAGGCAGAAGGGAGTTAGTTAATGGTCAGTTACCACGAGGCCTGCAAACATCAGCCCATGATGCCAACTGTTAAAAATAATATGCTTGACCTGAGTTTTACCTTATCTGAACTGGCATGTAGTTAAGAAAGAGGTTGCTGATTTGTGCAAACTGCTGTAATTTAACACACTGTAAACAATGACAGTAATTCTCATGACTTCAATGCCATTTATCATAGGCCAGACACAATAATTTTCATGTTTTATGAATTGTCATATGCATCGTGATTTCAGTGTGAATTAAGATGTTCAAGAGTTTTTTCTCAGCATGTGGTCTACACATGAAAGAGCATTTAAATTTAATTCTCATAACCTGACACAAAATTTAATGTAATACCTCTGCTCTGAACAACCTTGCTTAAAAACTTTTGTAAACTCCAATTAATTTACATTATAGTGGAAAACACACAAATTTTTCACAATCTCGCTGACTTCAAAACGATATTTGTAGTGAATTATCAATTGTAAGAAGCAGCGGAGAATGTGATAAAAATTCAAGTGGCACTGATATAAATAAGACCAAAGTAAGGCATTAAGATAAGGTCATTACAGCCAATCAAAAGTAACTAACTTCAAAGAAATCATTATGTACACGAGAAAAGTTATTCTGGTGTTTTGGCTGCCAATGACAGGATTGGTTAGTCAAATATTGATGTTCCTCCAAACTTAAGAGTTTGTACAATTATCCTTTATGATTTCATCCATCATCAAAGACTTCTGTGTTAACTAAAACCATGACGTTTCATAAACTGGCGTTGTTTCCGTCTTCAGGTGACTGGAGGTAGGACAGCTAGTCTCAACCAATGGTAAATATAGTTTTGGCCTCCTACCACACACCTGAAGATGTAAACAGATCTAATTTCTGAAATGTTGCAGTTTTAAATAATAAACAACATGCAGATAATGGACAATGTCCTAAAGCATAATCATACACATCATTGTCAGATATGTTAACAACTATCTGAAGACACTCTGGGAGATACTAAACATAATGTTACCAAAAATTACATGCACAATCTTTGATAACAAATAGTTTGAAACATGTTCAAAGAAATAAACAGATGTTACACATATCAATGCAAAATGACACCAAACCCTGATATGGGTTGACAACAAACTAAACAAAAGAAAGAAAATTAATTGTGATGACTGGACAAAAAATCACAAAGAAATACTCCTACAATATCTTTCTTTTCACAAATTTGTATTTTGCCATAGTGGACAGTATGTCAGAGATATAATAAAGGAATGCATGTAGGAGCTTCACAAACTGATATGATGCCACATGACATAAACTAATGGGTTGTAGATACAGTTTCCCTTTGCCTTTCCCCTCCCCATAATCACCCACGTACTAATGGAAACAAAAACGATTTCCCTCGACTGTAGGATAACTGCACTTCATGCTTCAACAGGTAGGAACTAAAACCATTCCCATGTTTTTTCTGTTACATACTGCCAAAATGTATACATGCAGGAACAGTACCACTCTTTCATTAACCTCACATCTTGTTTGAGATCTTCTCGTAAAACTTTATACACTTCTTCTATAGTGGAGCGCGGAGCCTGGCTGTGAAGCACCTTCATGGTTTCCACATATTCAGGAGGGACTAAATAATCCAGGGCTCCGATATGCTGCCCTACTTTGATGTAGACACCTCGGTTTGTGCAACATAACTCAAGAAGTTTCTCTGCAGCCCTTCTGTGAACCTGCCAACACATTCCAGCACAAATCACATTATATATAGCATTTATAAAGTAAATATTCTTTGATGTATGAATATCAGCAGCCAGAGTGAAGGTAATAACTCAATTGCACTTAGCCTTGTGCACGCAAAAGACTAAAAATCTATCTCGCCTCTAATCCTATATTTACGAGATTTAATATATCTTATTCGTCATGCATGGTAATCCAAAATGGTTCTTCATTACCTCCTGTGTAGAATTCTGTTTAAAAGTTTTGTCACCTTGCATTCACATTTATTCCTGATATCTTGGGTCTGAAGTGTGAGTAGAGGGAAAATACATTAGATTCATCTATTTTTTATTACCATTGTTAACAAAATACTTTGATGTAGCATAATTTAATAATTATGGGCTCCCATTTTTGTCACCAAAGTGCAACATTTAGTAAACATGAAAGAAATATAATACATTTAACTTGTTTAAAAACTCTCAAGCTCTAAAATCATAATTATAAAAAAGTGAACCTATTAATGACAACTTGAATTAGAAGGGGTTAATGAAATATAACAATGGATCCCTCTAATCCTGACTCGTATCGACAATAAATTTGTACCAGTAACAAATGAACATTAACATTCTCAGTATAAATATTTCTTGATGTTCTGGACCCGAGATGTTTAATGAAATATAACAAATAACAAAATGGTAAAATTGTGCATGGGTCTAACCACCATACCCTGAAGACATAATAGGAAGTCTTAATACTCGTAAAATCAGTGGCGGACAGAGATGAGCAATCAGCCAAAAGCTATAATTTCTCTGTCAACAGGAGACTAGAATGTTCCTCTACCTCAGTTTCTACACCTTTTCCAGTTAACATACCTGTTGCCCTCATAGTAAGATTTTATATATTCCTACTCAATGGGGACTTACATTGTATAATTTTAAACAAACCTTATTTATTCCATGTTTGATAATGTACTCCTCAGAAGGCTTCATGTACCCTTGGTTCAGAAACCAACAACAAAAAAGATGCACCAAATTCACAAACAATATAATGTGAAAATATGTTTACTACATCATATTCACATCCACAGCCTTAACCTTGGTGGATGGAAGTCTAATCTAGTGATCCATACCTTTCCTCTATTCATTTCTGAACTTCAGTTCTAAGAAATAAGCCTACCCTGGACCTTCCCCATTTCCTCAGTGTTGCCCAGTCTTAAATTCCTCCTTCAGTGTCCCTCCATGAAAATTCTAACAATACTTATTATTAACAATAACTTACTGAAGACTTCAGCTCTAAGAATTCTTTGGAAGAATTGTCAAGCTGGCTGCGATACAGAGTCTGCTTATAGTAGACAGCTATATTAAACACCTGCGAAAACAGAATAGTACACTTTAAACATTTAATAATGGAAAACAATACTGAGGTTCAATTGATAAATAACCTACAAACCAAACAACCTTCAGTCTCACAAGCCTCACACCACACGTCATAACTGGTTTGTTTTGCTAACGTAGTATGCATTACACTACTTGATTTCTGTTGCCCTTGACCTTTCTCTTATTTCAGTGTTTTCTTTCAGTTATGTGAATAATAACTCCCAAGATGGTTGTCTTCTGGGTTTTTGTGCTACAACCCAGAAGACAGCTATCTTCGGACTCACCACCACAGAAACCTCAAATTTACATACTATCTCCCAACTTTCAAGTAAGGACAGAGATGGTAAAATTGTCCAGTTTAATCCTAGGCAATAATAAACATATTAGGATGATTACAGGTAAGGTGCAAAAAAGACAACTGATCTTTGATGGCTTCTATTAATTTCAATCGATCCCTTTTTAATACAAGGCTGGCATTCAGGGGAGGTTTGGAAATATTGCTTTGATAAAGGTAAAATCATACTTCATGATCATTTTTCAGAAAGAAAGGAAGAAGGAATAAAAAATAGTGTAAATATAACTTTTATTGCTACAATTTGTCTCCATTACTTCATGCTATGACATTTAAATGAGTATCTCATAGAAATATAACTCAAAATAACAATAAAACTGTATTCAATAAAATTCTCTCAGGATATCAGCCTTGTCAACTGCTACAAAAAATCGACCTTTTCAAAACCATTATGGCCTGAGCAAATTTTCAGTTTAATCACTGTGAAACCTTCAAATCATATATAATAAAACTATACTACATAATACAATGGAAACTGTTATGTTCTGGTAATATTTTTGTGCAATGGGGCCCAAAGAGTACTGCATGGAATATGCACCAGTGACCAAAATTCTGCATGTTACTCACAGTGGCTGCGGCTCTTCCAAGACGAACAACTCCAACCGAATCAAAATTATACTGATTGGCCTTCAGTGATGCTATGGTGCCTAATGTTACCCCTGTGGCAAGGCCATACTTCAAGAGTCGTGATGGCCACATATTTTTACTAAATATGACCATCACTCACTCATTCTGAAAACAGTGTTACATTACCACCACATAAAATCATTTTAATTGCCAATGCCAAAGACATACACCAAAGCTACTGATTACAGACAATGTTTCTACTCAACAAATCTTAAGACCAAAATTAAGTTTTGTTATTTCCATTAAAATAAAATAAAATCTGCAAATCATGTTTACATACACAAAACTGACACTATAAAATTTATTTTTCTAAATACTACTACAAGAAATAAAATAAACAATCTCTTGATTCATATTAATAAAACCTCTTTCACGAGATGCAGAAACAAACAAAACTCCTATAAAAGCTGGAATAAATGTTTTAATATCTTTCATTACGCGTAGCTTTACAGCACAACATATAATTCACTATCATTGTTAACATTCATACGATGACCATGAAACCTGCAATCGTAATTATTTTTCCTGAAGCATAAAAATTAGGTTAGGGTCAAGGTTTACTAACCTTCTTGACCGCGACCTACAATACACTGCAATGTATACTTCCGATAAAAAGATATTGACAGTAATTCAGTCATACTGTTCACTGCACGCTCGGTGACTAAGACCTAGGAATAGCACAATTATATACGTATCAGTAAATTATTACACTTCTACGCCTACACCCCAAGCCACATGGCACTGTGAACACCCACAGACCACATTAGCATCATACAACAAAACTATGCTTAAGCATAATTATCTATGGTGATAATACCAAC